AAAAGAATGAAGTTACATTATGATAATGTGAGAAATTTCTATCCAAATCAAGGTCAAGTAAAAATAACTCCTTCAAGTTGTATTTTACAACAAGCCATGGATTTTAGTGGTGTAGATATTAAAACTGAACCGATTTTAGATGAGGATGTTTTCATCAATTCTACTGTTAAGTCACCAAATAGTGACGATGAGAAATCCCGTGATAGTGATTCACCAAATAGTTACAGAGGATATTCACCTTACAGTGATGATGCTAGTTTACAGTATGGTGATGATAATGTCCATTCACCAACTGAGCCTATCAAATCACCAAGTACTGTTACAGAATTCTTAGATTTATTTGATTCTTTAAAGGACTGTGACCAATATTATAAAAATGATACCAATCTGTCGAATAGTGAAAGTAATATTGACAATGATTGGTGGGAGAAAGCCTTTAATTTAGAAGATTTGAATAAAGAAAGTGAAGTTTTAGAGAAATCAGATATAAACCAGTTTTCCAGTTATAATAATAATAATATTTATAATGTAAACAATAATGAAGATAATTTATTTAATATATTTGATATTTAATGATAATATTATATTCATATATTTATAGTGCTATATATTTATTGTTCTATTTATCATGCTATAAGAAATAAATGTATTTATATCAAATAATGTCTCTTAACCTACTTCTGTATAACCTTTTGAAAATCACGTAAAATCATTTTTACCTAAATTAGAATGATAGATTGCTTGGTAACATACTCAAACAGCGACAAATTAACATACCCAATAGGACGACGATTATACCTAGTTTTTGCTGGAAAGTAGAACATAGCAAGTGATGACCAATGACGCAGCAACGATTTTTCAATAATATTGCCAAACTAAGCTTTGAAGAACCTATCTGTATAACCTTTTGAAAATCAGGCAAAACCATCTTTAGAAATTAACATTAGATAACTTGCCTGGTAAAAAACTAAAACAGCGACAAATTAACATACCCAACAGGACGATGACCTAGTTTTTGCTTGAAAGTAGAATATAGCAAGTGATGGCCAATGGCGTAGCTTCAATTTTCCAATCCTTATTAGACAAAGCTAAGTCTAAGTGAAAGTTCTTAAATTTGAATTGAAAATAAAGGCATCACCCGTAGAGATCCCTCTCACCCCCTCATCAGCCTTTTTCTAGATACTCCCTTGTATCGATAACAAGCTTTGAGCATACTGTGAATTCGGTTGGGCATCCAATCTTGGAAAAATCCATTCAAATAGTCGGACTTGTGGAAGGGGTCTGGAAATAAGATAATGGCTCAAAATTTTGACCAAATATCCAATTTCTGACTAGGTTATTAATCTTTGGTCTGTTTCTTCCCATCATGTCCAGGTTCCTTAAATTTCCCATTTTCACTGCTTCTCCCACTTCTTAGTTTGGATTTCTTTTTGAACTATACTTTGCTTCTCAACTGGATCTGCTTTCTTTCTTTAGAAGCTCTAAAGCCTTGATACTGTGCACCTGAGCAGGCTCTTGACCTCATCAGCAGCTTTTGATGTTGCTCATTTCTTCCAAATCTGCACATTGTCAACTTTGAAATCTTCCCAGTCATGGTTATTCTTGTATTCTCGATCTTAAACTCTTCAACGATAAATGTTAACGGAATTTAATCGAAATGCCATGGTACAATGGAGTTGACTAAAGAGTTTATTAATAAAACTTTCAATCTTTTCTCATAAAGCTTCAAGTGCCAAAAAGAGG